AGCTCTCTGTTCCTTCGTAGTGGTGGCTTCTAAACCTGTGGCTCCTCAGTACTTGGATTCTTTCTTTCTGGCTCCTTGAGTCTTTTTCCTTTGCTCCAATTGCTGCTTGCCTCAAAGCTTGATTCTTGCTCAGTGGCCGGTGGCCACTCCTCCTCCTGGCACACTGCCTCAAGCTGAAGGCACCCTCCTCAAGCTTCCTGGGATCTGTGATCCGGAACTGAGGAGGGAGCCACAGGGTTGCCAGTTGGCACCTGGCCTCTCTGGGCTAAATTGGCCTTGCCTCCTTTTGAATATGTTGTTAGGGTGATAGGTGACCTGGCTATGGCCAATCAGGACCATTTCATGGCGTTCTCTCAGGGATGGGCCCATGGGCCTGGGGTGGTCCTGGTACGTCTGTGTTGACCATGATTTAATTTGCTAACCTTTCACCTAAGTCACCTGCCAGGGAGCTTTCTGTGTAGCTGAGGTGACTCCTGTCACTTGTGATGACAGTCTCTGCCCAGCTGGTGAGTTTTACTGTGAGAGGTTGCATTCAGCTACAATGGTCAGACACAGGGGAGAGTTGGAAGATGGATGAGGCCTTGAGACACACAGAAAAGAGGAGGAAGGGTATCCTGGGGTAGGGAATGGGCCTGGCAAAGTCACATAACCTCTGGTCTCAGTTTCCTCATCTGTAAAATGGAGATAATCATCCATCTGCTCCCTACCCACAGGTGTGCGTGGGGTGAGGTTCAAGCTGAGCTCTGAGTTGTAAAGTCTTTTGTGAGTCTTACAAAGCTCAGTGTCAATGGTGTTGCTGTACTTTGTGGTGGGGAAGGTCAGGGCAATGAGCCTCGGGGCCAGATTGTGGAGTCCCTGAACGCCTACAGCTAAAGGTTGGGATTTTGCCCTGTAGGCACTGGGGAATCATGGATGGTTTCTGAGCAGGATCCTGTCAGAGCAAGGGAGAGATTGGAGGGGAAGAGGCAAGAGGGAGAAGCATCCAGGTGTCCAGGGAAGGAGCTAATAAGGACTGAATCAGGGTGGCAGCATTGGGAGTGGAAAGGACTGGAAGGGAGAGACATTATCAAGAAAGAATCGATAAAACTTGGTGGCTTCTTCTCCTGGGGGCCTGTGGGTAGATTTTGAGGGATGTGTGAATGTGGGCGGAGAAATGACTCAGGTCTTCCTTGGTGACCCTGTGTTCTTTCTTGCACACATTTGAGACACATTTCATGGTGAAGGGGTGGGTCTGTGGGCTTCACCAGGCAGCTACCAAAGGGCTGCAGGGCACAGACTAGGGGAATGGCCCCTGCACTGGGCGCCTCTTTCTTCTTCTTTCCCAGAAATAGGTGCTCCGAGTTTTGCTTGTGTCTCTGTAGTTTCCCTTGGAGTGTTAAATGGGCAAGGTGAGTTTTTCGTGAGCTTTCAGGCGTTTGCCCTCCTGCCTACCTGTTTGTCAGTCCACAAACATGTATTATGCCCTCCTCTGGTCCAGGCACATAGGAGAATGCCAGGTACTGGAGATGATACCAAGGCAAGAATGAAGCAGGCCCTGCCCACAAGGAGCTTCCATTCTCCTACTGCTAGTGGCGGGGGGGGTAGTGTGTGCTGTCAGTGTGTCTATCGGAGTATACAGAATAATCACACAGTCAGTGCAGTGCTCATCTGATGAGGGCAGGCACTGCCTTGCAGCTGGGCAGATCAAGAAAGGTTTCCTGTAGAAGGTGGGGCCTGAGCTTCACCTCTGCAGGGGGAAAGCATTCCAGGAAGGGGGGAGTCGCTGGTGCGGAGGCCTGCTGGGCTCTGTGAGAGGGACCTGAGAGGGCCAGGAGCTGGCTTGGGGCCACAGCAATTGACATCTGTTTGAGCCCAGTGGCAATGGGAAGCCACTGGAGGAAAATCACTGGGGTCCAAGTGTGGGCATTGGACTGGATTAAGAAAAGAATTAAGGCTGGGAGATCAATTAGGAGGCTAAGGGTCTCCCCCTGCCTGAGTGCGAGTGGGACGGCTGGCTGGGGAGGGTGCTGGTGGGGCAAGATCAGGCAGCAGCTTGGAAGAGCCCGGACAGGGCACGGTGCCTCGGACAGAAGTCGGGAAGCCTGGGGGACAGGAAGGGTCAGGGGAAGAGAGAATGCGTTCTTCGTGGCAGCCGGTGATTCAGGATTGGTGCTGAGGAGAGAGGCTGCGAATGGGGAGTGCGATCTGGGAGTCCTTGGCTACTAACCCGCTGTGGTCTGGCTGCTCCCCGCTCCACATCAGCTGGCCTCTTCTTGGTCCTCATTCCCCTGGACCTCGGCCGTGTCTGCTGCCTTGGCCGCTGGGGATCACGGTCCTCTCCTTCCTGGCTGACGGCCCCTTCTCAGGCTCTTGGCTGGATCTTCAGCTGGGTCCCACCAGCTAACTCCATCCTGGGCCTCCTTCTCTTGTAGGCCTGGGTCATCTGGGCTGGTGATATCCTCACCTTCCATGGATTCAGCTCTCCTCTCTGGGCACACGGTTCTCACATCCATTGGTTGAGCCACAGTCTCTCTCCTCGGCAGTGACGCCCAGTGGATAGAGTACTGGGTCTGGAGTCAGGAAAACCCGAGTTCAAATCCAGCCTCGACACTCACTAACTGTGTGACCCTGGGCAAGTCACTTCACCCTGTTTGTTTGAGTTTCCTCATCTGTAAAATGAGCTGTAGAAGGAAATGACAAACCGCTCCAGTATCTCTGCCAAGAAAACCCCAAATGGGGTCACAGAGAGTCAGACACGGCTGAAAAATGACCAAACAGCAGCAGCAGAAACAGCAAATCTCTCCTGAACTCCGGTCTCGCATCGCCAACTATCTCTGGGCATTCTCGGCTTGGATTTCTCATAGGTGCCTCAAACTTAAGCTCTTTTTCTTTCCCCCTAAACCGTCCCCTCTTCCTGACTTGTCTGTGACCGTCGAGGGCACCGCCATCTTTCTCTCACCCAGGCTTGCCACTCCCCACCTCCCATAGCCAAGCTGGAACATTTCTCCTCTGACACTGCCCCCACCTTGCTGCAGGCCCTTATCAGGTTAAGCCACCGAATGACCAACAGGAGGGTGGGTCCCAGGTGGACGCTCTTTGATGTGGCTGGTCAAGGAGGGCAGGAGGAGCTGGCTGGAGCACAGGGAGGCTGATGAAGGTCCAGAGACGTTAAGTACCACTGACCCTATTGGAAGGTGAGCAGAAGAAGGCCGAGAGTCAGTCTGGCACGGATCTGGGGGGGGGAGCGGCCAGAGGTGGGGTCCCGTGGCCCCTCAGGTTCCTGAGAAGACTCTGGGGGGGCTCCTGTGCTGGCAGGCCAGGAAGGGAGGGGTGGGCCGAGGTTGCCTCCAGGTGGGAATCTGCAGGCAGGCCGTGTTCTTAGCCATTCTTTTCTGGACAACAGACGCGGAGCCCCTGGGAACCAGAGCTAAGGTGTTGGGATTCATCTCTGAGTGCCTTTGAAGGTCCTGGCCTTAGTAGGACAGCGAGGGACCGGCCTTTGCTTCCTTTAGTAGGAGCCCCTTGAATGAATTCTCTGTGAGTGGGTCTCCTGGTAGCCTTAGACCTATCTTAGCTGTTCTTTTCTTCCATTTTAGCCCACCTGGGCTTGCCTAGATTAAACCTCCAGATCTGTTCAAACTTGACAGAAAGGAAATTCTACCTTTTGTCTGATTCAAAGGACTTTTTGTTCTGCAGCCGAGTCTCATTTGTGCCTTCTCTTGAGGGGATGCATTCCTTCTCTATCTGATAGGATCTTCTGTAGGCTGTTTTAGTGTCTTTGTGAGCTCTCCCAGCCCCCCCCCCCCCCACAGTGATCCTGAGAGCTCAGGGTCTCCGTAGGGGGTGGGGCTCCTCTTCCAAAGGGCTGACCACCCGCATCCTCATTGGGGAAATGAGGGTTTGCCCAATAGAGACCTGGCGAGCCTGGCGGTGGCCCTGGCCCAGATTTCTTCCTCGTCAGCTGATTTTATCATCTGTGATCGGTCCTGACTTGGGAATGTTGGGGAGTTCTGGGGCCCTTTTTGCCAGATTGCATCTTTTCAGATCTGAAAAATTGGGAAAGAATGGGAAGTGTGGGGGGTAAGGGAGAGGGGCTGTTTGTGGTGACCGCTCTTGCTGTTAGTGTTGGAGCAGCTAGGTGGAGTTAATGGTCAGAGCTGTGGACTCAGGTGAGGAAGGCTGGCTGGTTCAGCACTTACTAGCTGTGGGACTCTGGGTAAGTCATTTAGGCATTCTCAGCCTCAGTGTCTGTAAAATGGGTGGTTGTGAAGACTAACATAAGATAATACGATGAAATACACTACAATAGAATATATAAGTGTATAATATGACAAAATATAATAGCATAGTATAATACAGTACAACATCATGGTGTGGTATGGTATGATATAGTGTCCATTAGTGTAATATAGTATATATTATATATATATATGATTACAATATATAATTATATATTAATAATTAAAATTATTATATTTATTATAATAATAATAATATATGTGGTATAATAGAACATAATGCAACACAATATAATGTAGCATAGTGTAGCATGAGAACATGTAGTATAATATAATGGTAGAATATAGTATAGTATCATATAATATAGTAGGATATAACCCATAGTTTACAACATAGCCTATATAATACAATATAGGATAGTATCATATAACATAATACAATATAATAGTATAGTATAGTTTAGTATAATATATAGTATTAGTGCACAATAGAATATAGTATGACATATGGTGTAATATAGTATAATCCAATATAGTCTAAGACAGGGCTGCATGACCTGTGGCCCGCAGAAGTATTCTGGGTGGCCCATGAAAAGTGTAGAGGATGTAAAGATAGATCTGCCCCACGTACCACTCACGGGCATGGCTCTGTGTTGTGCAGGCCTGGTCTAGTGTAGTATATGGCATAATATAACCCGAGACAATATGCTAATAATATCATATAACATGTATAGAATGCGCTGTCGTCCAGTGCCCTATCATATAGCGTAGTGTGACATAGTACAGTCTGTGTCTGTACACATACAAATATACACATTGGTGTCTTTCATTGTTTGTTGTCCTAGACTTCTGGTTTTTTCTTTCCCTTCTCCCATCCCCACCTTGTGCCCCCTGGCCCTGGAGAACAAGAACTAGAAAGAAAACTCTTATAACCACTGGCCCAGGCGCAGTCAGGCCTGACAGATCGCCGCGCTGGCCACATGCCCTCATCCACCCCTGAGCCCCCCACTTGTCGGTCACATGAAGGCTGAGAAGCCCATGATCCTATGAGGACTGAGGTTGTTGGGGTTCTAGGAGAACACCGCCCAGAGCAAGTAGCCTGCGGGACCGGCAGATGAGGAAACCAAGGCCCAGCGTGGATCTGTGTTGGGATTCCCCTGCAGAGGGTCCAGTTACACCTGAGCAATGGTGGCCTGGGGCCGACAACCCTAACCCTAAATGCGTGCTCCAGTATGCTCCCGGGGGACGACACACTCTTTACCAGTGCAGGTTGGCGCGGTCTCTGCTCGTCCAAGGTCACAGACTCGGGAGTTGGCCCCCCCCTCCACGCTGCCTCCCTCAGATGTTGGAGACGAGGTTCTTGCGTGTTTAATTGTAGGATTGCACTGGTTTTCAAGCTGTTTTTGCCCCTCTGAGCTGCCTTTGGCCCCTTGCTCTGTGGAGTCACTGAAATGTTGAGATAGCTGCTCCCAGTCTAGGGACCCTTCCTTTGGTTGCCCCACTTTCCCGTTAAGGCTTCCTGGTGTGGATTCAGCGGGGTTGACTTGGCAGGCATCTGCCATGGTGTTCTCTGGCGTGCCTCCTCAGCTCCCATTTATTGCCGGTTCTCCTCTTGTTTCAGAGAAACCACGTCTGAGCGTGTCTTCCAGAGCATCCAGCAGATCCTGGTGAAGTCCTCCCACGAGTTGGAGCTGGCCTGCCAGGACACCAGCCGCCGGGTGCATCTGGAGCCCTGGCTGCAGCTCATCGCAGAGTGCTTCCGCTGCCTGAGAAATGCCTGTGTGCAGTGCCCCAGGAACCAGGGCATGATCAGGTAGGGCGCCCTCTCCGACGTGGGCAAGGGCCGAGGCTGTGACCATGCACTGAGGTGGGGCCACAGGTGCCCGGAGCACAGGGGTCGACTCTGCCAGGGTGGGTTGCAGAGCCTCCAGGAGACGTGGCACCGACCCTCTCCTGGGGGGGAGGGGGGCGTGGTACTGACTTTGGGGGGGTATGGTGCCAACCCTCTCTTTGGGGGATGTGGCCCCGTCTCTCACCCCAGGGGCGTGGCACTGACCCTCTTCCCAGGGGCCACCGTCTCCTCATGGCCAGCCATCAGCTGGCTTCCACACTGACTTCTTCAGTGTGTGTGTGCCCTGAGCAGGAAGCCTAGATCCCCAGAGCCACAGGGGCCCCACTGACTGTGCACATAAAGTAGGTGGCAGGCCCAAGTCTCACAGCCCAGGGAGGCCCCATGCTGGCTCGGGAGGCTCCTGCCATCAAGGTGGGGAGAGGAGAGAGGCGAAGCAGAGGGTGGGCATGGTGAGGAGGCCTGAGTGCTAATTCTGCCTTAGCACTATCCTGGGACCCTGCACCTGCCTGGGCTCGGGGCAGGGAGATGTACTCAGTAATGCAAGGCTCCCTGTGCTGGGCTCTCTCGGGGTCCTCTGTGGAAGGTGGCTCCAGGAGGGGCCAGATGCCACTGAGGGGCTGCCCCCCCTCCCCCCCGGGGTTTGGTTCTTTCTGCTGGATCTCTTTTTGTCGGTGAGACGGTGATCAACACCCTTCTCCCACTTTGGGGCACGCGGGTGCGCCTGCCTGCCGAGAACATCCTGGGCCGTTAATTGGCTGAGGCCCGCAGGCTATGTGGAGGTCTGCATTGATGAGAGCCCCGACTTCCTGCCCCCACGACACGCCCCACAGGGCTTCGGAAGGGGCTGTCGCCTGTCTGTCTCGAGCCCTCCTGGGGCTGGGGGGATGCCCCTTCTGCGGTTTCTGCAGGTCTCGGTCCTGGAGCCCCCTCGCAAGCTCGGTGCTGGTACAGGCAAAGACCCTCGTCAGAGGCGCCTTAGAGGACATTGGGCCCGCTGCCTTGGCGCACTGGCTCTGTCCGCTTGGAATCCCGATGAGCGGTGCCTGTTTCAGGTCCGAGTGATTACCAGTGACCGCAAAGGTGGGGGGGGCTCCAGTAAGTTGTGCTGGCTCGGCAAGCCGGGGGTCAGCGCTCTCTGAGAAAGCTCCCTCTCCCCCATCGTGGGCTCCTCGGCGGGCAGGGACGTCTGTCCTGGACAGATGCTGCCCGGCCTCCGCTCTCGGCCTGGGATGCATCTGGAAGTTAGCCCCGGGGCCGATGGCGCCCTCCTTTTGGCGAGGAAGCTCCCTTGGGGTCAGGAGGCGGCTGCCCGAGCCGGCAGGGCTTAGTGAAGGACGAATGGAGGAATTGGGAGGCTTTGGGGAGGATTGGATTCTGAGAAGCGAATCCGGGGAGATTAGGCTCCTGACTGATTTACGCGCCCCTTCCGTTGGCGGTCCTTCAGGGTGAGATCACCCATCCCAGAGCCAAGAATGCCTGGAATCTCATTCCCCGGAGCCGGGGTGCGCGTCCCTCCTGCGGAACTGTCTCCACTCTTCTTCTCCCAAATGTCCACTTCAGATTGTTTTCATCCGGGGACCTGTTGGGGATCCCCCTCAGTCTCTGCCCTGGCGTTCTCTCAGCTCGAGAGTGGTGGGCAGTGGCCGGCGGGCACTGGGTGCAGGCTGGCTTGGAGTCTCGGTGATTAGCTGCTGGAGCTGATTTGCATTGGAGACCTTTGAGTAGCACTCGTGGCTTAATTGTGCTGCTTCCGAGCTAGATGTCGCTAGGTCAGCTCTGTTCGTTGGCTCTGACGGGTTCAGCAGTGAATCGTTTCACTCTGTGGTGTTAAGAACGGGAGAGCTGGGGCCGTGGGCCCTTGGGCACAGCCTCTTGTCTTCTTGGCATCTGAGGCAGAGAGACTGGCCAGTCTTGAGCCTGCCCGTGTCCTGGGCTTGTCCCATATGGGCCTGGATCTTGTCCCAGGGCCCCCCTGGCTCAGCCTCTTGAGCACCGGGCTAAACTCTGGGCTGTGGTGAGAAAGCCCCCTGAACTGGGTGGCCAGCGTCTAGGCCTGCATGGCATTGCAGGGGAAGGAGGGAGGAAGTCACGTGAGAAGGAGGTGTCTAAGGCCCTGGGACCATCAGGCTTTGAGGGCAGTGGGGGGCAGGTGTGCTGGGAGCCCCAGCAGGTAGAGAGCAGCCACCATGCCCAGGCCCAGAGGTTTCCTCCTGCTAGTCTGGGATGATTCCAAGAGCCCTTTCTCCCGTCCAGTTCTGAAGCCAGGATGGGAGCCTGTCTCTGTTCATCCTGGTGGGGTGGTAGGCGATGCCTCCCTCTGTGATCATTGAGAGTCGCTGAGGCTGGCCCTCAGGGGGTCCTCCCTGTCTCAGGTCCGTGACCAGGCCAGCCTGCCAGGGCCTGTGAGAGCTGA